ATATATTGCAAACTTCAGTACTTTTTAATTTAGTGTTTATGAAATTATACAGTAGAGAATAAATTGCAACAAAATATTTGGGGGACCAGTTTATAGCTGTTCATTATAATATTGCAAAAAGCACTGGCATTATTTTGCTTCAATAAACCCACAGAATAAACTCCCAGAATGTTAAGAGTAAATTTTGCCCTTTCACTCTACAAAGAAATCATTCCAGTAATATAATGCTTTGCAAATTGGAGGCAGCTTTGGGAATGGGTGCTTCCTGCTTTACTGCCTCTCCAACACACAGTCCCCCTCCTTATGTCTTGCCTTCTTTAAGCATGATGAAATATTTTATTTGTAGCAATTCTAAATATGAATGCTAACTAGTATTCCTTTTGTAAAAAGGGCACGAAATCAAGATTTAACTAAGGTTAGAAGTCAACTTCATTAGCATTACCTTCGTAGGCTTGTGTAAAAAGGATATCACTTAATAGTTATGTGGCCTGCATAAATCTTGTTTCATCCAGCCAGATACTCTGTAGTAGAGCAGGCCTGAGAGAGTAGGTTGGGAAATGTATGATTCATAAAACAGTACATCCCTTACCTCTACATCTGTACATACTCAATACATGGCACTCTCAGAATGGTATTTACAGTCTCTGCTCTGAGAGCTTAAGGGAGGTGGACTGTATGTACGAATCTGAGAGCTTCTAGATACCCCTTCCTGCAACCACTGAATGCCAGGACAGGGATAGCTCCTAAAGCTTATGTGCTGTAGAGAGCAGTGTTTCTCAAGCTTGACAACTCTAAGATGAGTAGACGACAACTCCTAGAATTCCCCAGCCAGCCATGCTGGCTGGGGAATTCTGGGATTTGAAGTCCACACATCTTAGAGTTCCTACGATTGAAAAACACTGGTATAGAGTCATCTAAAGTGCAAAGGCTCATTAGTTCAGTAGCTTTTACAGCATTTCAAACCCATAGAATAACATGCAGCTATCCACATCTGAGTCGTCTTGGTAAGGATGAAATTGGTCATGTGGTACTTCCTGGTGGTCAATGTAACTGAAATTCCACACAGGATATGCACTGTGTAAAAATTGAAAAAGTGGAGGGGGGAAGCAGGGGGATGGAAGTTCTTTTAACCGATCAAGAGATCTTGCTCATAAATTTAACAAATAAATGTTTGTCACTGATGTAGAAGCTATTCCATGCCAACACTGACAAGAGAAGAAAAGAAAATAGATATAGGGGTGGAGGGCAACATATTGCCAATATTGGGGCAATGTGACATTTGTAACAGGCTAAAGATTTTAAAATTGATGGACAAATATGTATACACAAATGTGAGAAATGTTCCATACCTTCATTAATCACCTGAACATGTACTTGGATATAGGTTTACTTTTGATTTCAATTCTATGGTTGGTTTGTACATGTGCCTCCATGTACAGATTCATGTTTTTAAATATAATGGCTATGAATCCTCTAATCCTTAAGAAGCTACACACGTAAAAGCATTATTTCCTGCTTTTTCTGCAGATAACTCTTGCCATCAAGAAGCATCCTGGTTGGTACAGGATCCCAGCATGTGCTGTTAGCACAAGCAAGGTTTGGACTCAACAATCTGAAGTGTAATTTCTATTATTACACTTCAGTCTTTCCCTACTTAGAATCATCTGAGACTTGTTATATTCATCTGTTCTCACTGGCTGAAACCTCCTTGGAAATTATTGGAAAAGATAGTAGGAAGAAGATGTCACAACTCTGAAACAGCTTACACTTGGAGTCTTGCTTTTAAGGATCCCTTAACTTACCTGATAACATTATTTTGTTCTCTTCCTCCCTTCCTTGAGCCTTAAGGTAACATTTAATCCTGCCCATATATGCCCTTGATTGATTGATTGACTGATTGATTGATTGATTGATTGCGCAAACGTCTAGTTCACCACAATCAAACAACATTCAGCAGCTTATGCAGTGTATATAAAACAAGAATGAAAACATCCATGTTTGGATTAAAATCAATTCCAATCCCAGCATAAAAATCTTAGGACAAAAACCATAAAAAAAAACCAAATATAAAAGTAAAGGAAAAAACCCCTCACAAGTACAAGATGGGATCAAGTATAAACTTAAGAAAAGGCCCTCTGAAATAACTGCATTTTAACATTTGCCAAAAAGACAGCAAGGGGGAAACTAGCCTCATTTCTGTCAGAAGGCTGTCCCAAAGTACCAGTGCTGACACAGAAAAGATGACGTTCAACCTTCTGAACTGCTCGAAAATGTTATTATAAGTAGTTTCTCTTTGGATGTTCTAATAGTTTGGACTGATGCTGGTTGGAACAGGCAGTCTTGAAGTATCCCGGTGCCAAGCCATAAAGGTGGTCATTGGTCAAAATCAGCACTTTAAATTGTAACTGGAAACTAGGAGGGAGTCAGTGCAGGACCCATAAAATTGGTGTTATATGCTCCCAACAGTGAGAACTAGTAAGCATGTGGGCTGCTGTATTCTGCAGTTTTCAAGTAGTCTTGAAGGGTAGCCCCATTAACGCACATTGCAATAGTCTAATTGGGTGGTAACAAGGGAATGGATTATGATAGCTAGCTCCTCCTGAGCCAGGGAGATTGCAATTGGTGCACCAGACAAAGCTGGCCATAGGCCCCTGTGGCCTCAGCCTCTACCTGCTGTTTTGGTAGAGGCCACCAAATCACAGACCCACTCCTTTATAGGTAATACCCCCCTGTTGAGAAACACACTGGTGGCAACAGAAAACCCTGATGTACAAACAGAAACTCTGTCTTACTTGGGTTCAGCTTCCACCTATTTCTGCCATCCAGATCCTCAAAAAAGTCAAGAAAATTCCTTTATTATGATGCCTGTATTTGCTAGCAGATACATTTCCACAGATTGTCTGAAGCAGCAAATAGGATCTTCATTTCTTTCTTTTGAATATTCATACTTACACATGTAGTGGAGGAATAGGTGATGGATCATAATGATAACGTCCCTCATGATGTCTTGCCTCAATTGGTACTGGAGGGTGGAAAGTTGGGAAAAGGTGAGGTGGATCTGAAAAAAGAATGTTCAGATCTCATTATCTGAAATTTTAACAGGATGTTAAAAAAAAAAAATCAGCAATCCATACATGTTGCATTAAAAAAAAACAGCTGTCTAATTACTGAATTCTATATCTACAAGTAGTCCTTGGTTAATGACCACTCGTTCAGTGACCATTCAAAGTTACGACGGTGCTGAATAAGGAGACTTACGACCAGTCCTTGGAGTTGCAGCTGTCACAGCGTCCCCGTGATCATGATTCAAATGCTTGGCAACCAGTTCACAATTACGACAGTCACAGTGTCCTGTGGTCACATGATCACCATTTGTGACCTTCACTGTCAGCTTCCAACAAGTAAAGTCAACTGGGAAGCCAGCAGGAGGTCACAAATGATGATCACATGATGTTGTGCTTAATGACCACGATCAAAACAGCTGCAACTACCGTAAATTGGAGTGGTCATGTGATGTTGTGCTTTACAACCATGTCACTTAGCAATGGACTAACCAATTACTACCTCTATATGACTAATGTAATTGAACTCATTTGTGTATTTCTTTACTTTTCTGGTCATTTTGTATAACTCTAATTTTGATGACTGTAGGGAGGAAGAACAACTATTCAGGGACATAAGTTCTGTCCCAGAACACCGGGGATCACATTCAGTAATCAGTAACTACTTCTCAGATTTCAGCATTATTCAGCAGAGAAATAGGTCCTCTCAGGTTTAATTTAGGATGTTCAGATAAACCTATTTTTCCATCTAACCCAGTCAGGTCTACTTTGACTTGTTAGCTTTCCAGGGTCACAGACAAATAGACATTATCTGGAACCTGATTTTTGTTTGGCAGAGATGCCAGGGACTGAACCTAGCATCTTCACAAAGAATGTTCTTTACCACTGAATGTTGACTCCCCAGATCTCGTTTCAAACATTTTCTACAGTCCTGCAGAACTGCAGGAGACATTCAGTTCTGCCAATAAGACTGGAGAAGCATATGACAAAGATAACAGTTTAACTGAGTTCAGTGTAACTTTCATTTATATGAACCCAAGCCAAGTGCTTAAGAAACAAATACTTTCATTTTGCCATGGCAAATGTGAATATTCATATATAATGTTCTCTTTGAGCCACTTTTAATGGATGTTACATAAAGAGGTATTTAACTGTCATGGATGTGTGTACTGTTGGATCACATGGATCAGCTAGTATTTCATAAGCACACCTTGAGAAATAGTAGAACTAGATTTTAAAGAGTTAGGAAAAAACAATGAAATATTAGTAAAAAATGTAGTATTGTAATGTAGAGTAATACTGCAGAACCCTAAAAGAACATAAATCTGGCAACTAAGGAATTATACATGAATATATTTATACTTATTGCTTTAAAAAAATCCAACCCATGTACTATGAAAAATAAAATATATGTTATATACATTATATAAATCAGACAAACATGAAAAAAGACAACAGTGTTTTAAAGCATGAGCACTGATAACCTAAGTTGGACTTTTTGGCTTTCAATAACCATATCCGTGTAGTGTATTTATTTCGTTAAATATAAGCAAGTTAGAACCTAGTGAGAGATATGAATCAAAGCTGTTAAATCTATTTCAGAAAATAAACACACATATTCACCTCCAATAAACACACAATCACAAAGAGAGCGAGCAAGCGAATTCACTCAATAACTTATGTAAACCATACCACCCAATTTCCAGGTAAGATGGTGCTGTAATCGGAGAGATACTAATATTTTCTAGCTAGTCCTACAGTCTTTTCATATTGATAACTGTTTAATTGCTCTCTTAATTATTACCATAAGAACCAGAAGTACATTATTACTATGTATTTTTATTAATGGAGAAGGCTTTTTTGCTATTTGTCTGGATAGCACCCAAAAATATTTCATGACCATTTCCCCCCACTAAGGTGACAATTTTGGCACTTTCAGAAGTACAGAGAAAGATGTGATTACCATTCTCCTTCAGAAAGAATTAACACTACAAATATCAGATGAGATGTGTCTATGGGAATTCTGTATACTTATTTATATCTGATTTACTACATACTTTTAAGAACAACAGTCCCTGGAATCTCCCTCTCCAATTAATGTATGATTACAATTTTAGAAGGTGAGAAAAGTCACTGGTACTTTTTATGGAAACCATAATAAAGAAAGTATTGGGTTTGCCTAGATTTAGATATTGAGAGGACTTAATACTTAACTTGTGCTCCAGCTTCTTCTTTTCATATGGCTGAAAAGCTCACTGGGAAGCTTCTTAGATTTGTCATGAGGAGTGAAATTTTACAGAAGGTCAGAGCTGCTCAAATAATTGAATGGGAAAGTAAAAAGTCTCATCTTATGTTTTTCCCAAGAAGTCCAATAACAAAAAAAGGTCTCCAGCACAGCAAAATATACTGCTCGGGGCGG